ACTACCTGTAAGGGAACCTGCGATCAGTTTTTTTCGAAAGTGTAGACCCATTGTGGCCTGAAAGAGTGCTTGTACCCCTCGTAACACGTGTCACAAGGGTTTTTGCAATGAAATACCATCATATTCATGTTCAGCGGGTTAAATTACCCCTGGGGACAAGTTTCTAGCCGAATCTGATTTTTCGACCTCACTTGGAAAATGTGGGCTATTCCATGGGTAATTAGCAGCAGATTGGAGCTCACCTACCATCGATGACTGGTCTCGGAATGGGATTTCCTCCCGATAGTGAAGAAAATGATGCAGACGGCACAAATAAGTAAGCCAGGTACTGTTGTTTGCAAAAAGACATGACTGAAGAGTTATTTCAGTTCGAAGACCAGTCATCACCAGTATGCTAGTCATAGTATCGATGTTAGCTATCAGTTAGCCATGACTATCCATACCCCATTTTTACGAAGTTGAGTCAGAAGCTCAGATTTCGCTAAGGTGACGTCCCTAGGGGTTATTTGACCCCCTGAACACGAATATGATACCTGTTTTGCGCGAAGAGCGCTGTGAGTCGCGCTACAGGTGCCAACGCTTCGGCGCCAGCGCGCCCGTAAGAAGAAAAACAGTAAAGAAAAACCTCCATAACTCCGCTCAGAGAATCGTTCCGCAAATTTTGAAGTTTGAGTTCACCGTCTCAAGACGGTACAATGATGTGCATCTCATTGCAAATGGCCAGGCTGACCTGTTGACCTTTCCTGGTAAGAGCAACCTCTCATGCGCGGCACTCTCACCACACACACCTGATCAATTTGCCGAATCAGTCGGCTGGAAAAGGCTATTTTCAGCGCATCGCAGCAGCACGCATCTCTCAAAACACTCCTCGCTCCACTATAATATTAAAGTTGAGCCAGACAAAAGGAAGCAGAGACGCTGAAACTCACATGATGTCGACGACTGCAAAACGGACTTTGTAGGGAACTTCCTTGCCATGGCCAGGTATTAGGTTGTCCGGAAAGTTCTCAGCGTTTTGTGTTACTATTTTTTGTACATTCATTGCTGATTAAAAACTCATTCTCCCTTGCGTCTCAGTAGTACATCCTGAAGAGAATTCTTTGCGCTATCTGATGGTATAATTGCCGTTTCACCATTGCTTGATGACCCCCTTTTTTCAAGAGTTTTTCAAGCATGTCAAAAGAGCTTCGGACGATATTTTTCTTCAACTACAAATTGGGTCAATCCGCAGTCGAGACAGCTCGACAAATTAACCAGGTGTGGGGGCCCAATAGTGTTGGAGAAAGCACCGTGCGACAATGGTTCGACAAATTTCGTTCTGGAGATTTCAGCCTTGAAGATGAACCTCGTAGCGGTCGACCTAAAGCAATACCTGACGAGATTTGAAGGCATTTGTGGAGGGTGACCCATCCCAAACAGTTCGAGAGATTGCAGAAAAGCTAGGCGTTGGCAAATCCACTGTTGCGGATGGTCTGAAACGCATTGGGAAGGTGAAAAAACTCGACAAGTGGGTGCCCCACAATTTGAGTGACCGGCAGAAATTGGCACGTCTCGAGGTTTCTTCTTCACTGCTTTTGCGCAACAGAAACGACCCGTTTTTGGACCGAATTGTCACCTGTGATGAAAAGTGGATCATGTATGATAACAGGAGACGTTCCGGACAGTGGTTGGATGCCGACCACCGAGGCAATTTCCAAAGCCGAATCCTCACGAAAAAAGATTATGGTCACAGTGTGGTGGTCATCGGCTGGTGTGATCCACTATAACTTTTTGTCACCAGGCCAAACCATCACAGCAGAGTCCTACTGTGAAGAAATCGACGAAATGTACCGAAAATTGCGTCAGCTGCAGCCAGCACTTGTCAACAGAAAGGGTCCGATTCTTTTGCATGACACACGTTTCACAAATCACTATCCATAAATTGAACGAATTGGGGGTTGAAGTTCTACCTCACCCGCCATATTCTCCAGACCTTTCACCCAACTGAATCCGATGAGTATTAAGAAAGTTATGATCGTTTAAAGTAAAATACTCAAAACACTGAGAACTTTCCGGACAACCTAATACTTCGGGACAACAAGTTTGTCCCTTGGAGGCAACTTCACGGCTTACACTGGCCTCGGTCAAGGGCAACACGGAGGATAGGTTTAGGGAAGAATTGAGCGACTATGAAAAGGGGAGGCTGTCATGTTCAGCCATTTTTGAATGAAAAGGCTCCAAGCACCAAGAAATCGATTTCAAGCGCATTTGGGTATATTATTACTTCGAACACGACCCAAGCAATGAGTAAAACAACGGAGAAACACCTTCAAACAGCTGAGGGGAATGAAACCCATACAGATCTCTGCGTTTCCCGAAAGTTTGTCTCGTCAGTCAGGGCATTCGATCGCCGTCTACTAAAAGCCGAATGTCCTGTCATGACGTCTCGACATCAAGTAATTAGTTGACCGGATGCCTGTTCCCCTTCCCTGTTTGGCTGAAGAGAGCACTATATCCGCCAAGCGGAAGAGGGCGGTGCAATGGTGGGGACATTTTCCCTGCTCCACGGTGTACTCTGACTCGTAGTGGTATTCCACTTCCATCCAATCCTGCGTGTTCAAAACGTTACGTTCCTGTTCCTGTCTTCCAAACTTCAAATTCTGAACCGCGTGCAATCTGAAAAGCTTTAAAGACTGTTCTACTACACTTTAGCACTATACCGCGTGGTCCCCTCCATTCCCCAGCCATGGTGACAATGCCCACATGATTCACTCCCATCATTGTGGGTGCGCGCGCGTTTCCCCCACAACGCCCTGCTCTCCCGTCTGCACTCTTTCACCTTGGGCAATCATTCGTACCATTTTCCAATTTCCTGTCATCACGGCGCCCATTCCTCTCATCCTGCTCGGATTTACCGGAGGAATCTTCTAGAAACAGCAACGATTTCATGACGTCCTTATTGTGGTGAGTCATGTTGCCCTTTTCCGTCACAAGTGCGGGAAACTCGTCCCAGAAAAGCGTGCACCCCATGCGGCATAGCCCCGCCCACAATCCCGTGAGTTCCTGAGTGTACCTGGCCAGCGCAACCTGCCTCTGTTCTGATCACGGCGCAGCTGCTTCCAAATTATCACGTTCTTTCGGTGAGTTCTCGTTAGTTTGTTTGAATTCCTCTGGAGATGTTCATAATGCTACATCACAATCTTGGAAACGTTTTCCTGTTGTAGAGTATCCTCTGGTAGCATTGTGCGACATGAGGGAATCGTGTAGGGAGATGTCAAAGAAGCAGGAAAAGCCCGTGAAACATCTGGTTTTGGATACCGGAGCGATTATTGCGAATGTTAATCTCCATGTAAGTTCAAGGCAAATATTGACTAGGGAGCTTTTCATGAGTTTTTTTCTCATCAGTTGGACAATTTCTCGTTATTTTCTCGCAGTTATTTTTTTTACTTCAGTTTTAAACTTAGCCTGTGCATAATTCTCTTTTCTCAACGCATAGTCTTTCTGGTTTAATTTCGAGCTTTCGCCTACATTTTTTCAATGATGTAACTGTACTTCATGGTCTTCGACGAATTGTGACTCGCAGAGGGTGGCGGACTTAATATGTTTGTAGTTATCCTTTTTAAGGAAGTAACTAAGTTACAACGCAGTGTACTTTAAACACAACATTTTATCCTTGTACATCAAAAAATCGACAGTTATCCTTTATTGATCATTTTTTTCTTTCAGGAGATTGCAGAAAACTATTATGCACCTCCAGAAATCGTCGATGAGTTGCGATCTCACCGATCCAAAATAACTTTCGATACACTTCCTTTCGAGGTCTTAATACGAGAGCCGTCCGCGAATGCATTGAGAAAAGGTGATACATCTGAGTATACTGTTATAAACATTACTGACAAGACTGGCAACGACGTCTCCTCAGAAGCATCGGGCTGCTCGTTTTGTAATCTTGCATACATTTTTTTTTGCTTTATCTTCGCTGTTGATGAATTTAGTTCTTTGGGAATTGCGAACACTCCACTGTGATGGAGACTGACTATTCAAAGCTCTTTTGCGGGAGTTCTGTGGGAACTATTAGGTTGGCCGATAAGTAATGGCGTTTTTTTTCTTACACGTTTTTAGTTTTTACATGGAAAACGGGAGTTTTCAGTATGTTCTGCGCTGTTCGATAGTAATTCCCCGTTCTATGAGATAGTGTGATTGTCCTCCTACTATTTCTTGATTTTTGTCGATTTTTATTTCATTGAATTTAAGGGTCGGAACAACAAAAAACGAGTTTTTGACAACTTTTTGCCTTTTATCTCGGCTCTCGAGAAAAAGCTCAAAAGTTGTGTCATACATGGACAAGGAAAGACGCTTCCGACATTTTGGAGTTGGTTCAAGCGATCAGGAGGTGGATCCAGACTTTGCAAATGTGCATGCAAGCGTGGCCTTCTTGGGAGCGACTGCCTGCAGAACCTAAACGCAAACTTTCAAACGCCTACCACCAACTGAGGGTGATGCTTATTGATGATAAAGGAAGCATTCCATGACCGGTAACGATTCCCCTTACGTTGGCATCTCTTATAATTTGAGGTGAAAAAGAGAGGCTGACGAAAATGCTCAATTCGTTTACCTGACACTCCAGTTTGAGGTTCTGTTTCTACTTCTGTATAAGTAGAAACAGAACCTTTAAGAAACGAAGATGCTGTCGTACAGAGTGAGGACTTCTCTACAAAAATGTGTAAAACTCACTGGCAAAACTTTCGAGCTTTAGCGCATATTTCGACTGTGAAAAAAACGCCATTACTTATGGGCCATCCCAATAGTTTTCACGCTGGATATTCACAGGGTGTCAATCAATCCTGTTTAAGTTGTTCCGAATAGTTTTTTCTTACTCTGGAGAAAAAAGTGCAGTACGTTCATAAAATTGTTACAGAATGACTCTCACTTGAGCCTGGGCGTTGACTTATCTAATTCTTTAGTTGTGGATGCTTCGAAGAAGACGGGTGATTTCGTATCACTCTCTTTAGCTGACATCAAGGTTATTGCTCTGACATACGATGTTCACCAAGAACAATGTCATAAAACGAATGAGGTTAGTTCCTAGGACTTTCCTTCTTCTTCTTCTTCTTGTTCTCTACCAATTTTGTCACCAACGGGCAGGAAAGACGTGTCATTGCAGATTCCTGACGATGACGCTTCAATGGCAGACGTTCTGAACGAAATCCAAGCTGGTACAAACGAGAAAGCATCTGCTACGGCTGATTCCGACCATGCCGTCCCCCTTGAGCCCTCACCGAACACCTTGCCAGAGGGTTTCTGTGAGAGTATATGCAGTGACGACGATGAAGGATGGATAACGACGGATAATCTCAGCAAAGCTCTCAGAAAAATGGGTGCTCTGGAGGTGAGCTTCATTTATTTTGAGATCCCTCTAACCAGGGAAGGTCAACAGGTCGCCATGGCCATTCAAGATGAGATGCATATCGACGTGTAGGTCTTGGGACGCTGAACTCAAATCTGCTTCCAAAATTTGCCGAACGATTCTCTATGAGGAGTTAGGGGGGGGTGGTGGTTTTAGCATAGCACTCGCCGATCCTCCTTTGCGTAGCTCAAGTTAAGTTCGAGTACAGACGTCTCAAGTGGTCGATGGTGTAGTGGATAGGTAAGTTGCTTCATAGGTGGGAGGTCATGGGTTCGATTCCTTGACAGGTTCGGATTTTTGCATTTTGGAACATCTTCTGCGAGTTCAGAAAATACTTTTATCCGTTATTTTGTCAAGCTTGCTCTTACTTGCAGCAGGAAAAGGCTTAAATGCCGGCAATTGTGCTTCGCTTTCAAGACTTTTAGGCAGTGTTTACCTTTTACTGCCCAAATCACCCGAAATCAGGCCAGTTTTTGACCGACTTTTTTCTTCGTAAGCAGAATTGGCTGAAAAGTTGCCTACTAGGGTAGTCTGCCCTTCTGAACATGATTATCACATCCGCTCGGCACGAAACCTCCTAACGCCCGTGCCACAGGCGCCAGCGCTGGATAAAGGATAAAGTCTTCGCCGTTGATCAATCCCTTTGGGGATGCGGCACGCATTCTACTTCCATTCAGAATCGTAGTGGCTTATTGAATGCGATGTGGCCTATACAATGACTTGCGGTGGCCAGCCGATGTACAAGTCAGTGTTTTATCCTCCCAGACGAATCTGGTACCAATTTACCGTCCCCGGAGGGTAGAAGGCTTGGTTGGCCTGGGCGGGTGTCGACCCGGGATTCGAACCCGGCGCCGCGCGAGTGGTAAGCGCGCCACTTGTCACTACACCACCTCCGCCTCACCAGCGCTGAAATACCCCAAATCAGCGCCACTTGTCACTAAACCACCTCCGCCTTGCCAGCGCTGAAATACCCTAAATCGCCAAGTTCGCTGAGAAACTTGTCAACTGGGTAGTTTGACCTCCTGGACACAAATATCCCATTAGCTGAGCCCGGAAATGCCTGGCGCCGGCGCCAAAATACTCGAAATCACCAAAATCACTAAACTTTTCAACTGGAGCAGTTTGACCTTCTAAACACGAATATCACATCCGTACAGTCTGAAACCGCCTGACGCATACGCCACAAGCGACCCATCACATGCTTGTTCCGACTCCGGCGCGTGTAGCACAGACTCCAGTCGCTTTCGTGCGAGGCTCTGTGCTAGGGCAGTTGGGCAAACTGGCCGAAGTAACGCACCACTCTTCCTGGTTGCCTGTCATAGAAATCCTTCCCTTTGCTGAGGTTCAGCCTGCAGAGAAAGGGCCCCATCTCAGGGGAGGGGTGCAGACGCAGGTTGCGCAATCACATTACTCCTTTTTCTCTATCCCAAACATTCTCTATCGTTTCTCTATCCACACAGATGTGATGTTCGTGTTTAGGAGGTCAAACTGCTCCAGTTGAAAAGTTTAGTGATTTTGGTGATTTCGAGTATTTTGGCGCCGGCGCCAGGCATTTCCGGGCTCAGCTAATGGGATATTTGTGTCCAGGAGGTCAAACTACCCCAGTTGACAAGTTTTCAGCGAACTTGGTGATTTAGGGTATTTTGGCGCTGGCGGCACGGGTGCTAGGAGGTTTCGTGCCGAGCGGATGTGATAATCATGTTCAGAAGGGCAGACTACCCTAGTAGGCAACTTTTCAGCCAATTCTGCTTACGAAGAAAAAAGTCGGTCAAAAACTGGCCTGATTTCGGGTGATTTGGGCAGTAAAGGTAAACACTGCCTAAAAGTCTTGAAAGAGAAGCACAATTGCCGGCATTTAAGCCTTTTCCTGCTGCAAGTAAGAGGAATCTTGACAAAATAACGGATAAAAGTATTGGGTTGGCACATAAGTAATGGCGTTTTTTTTCAATTGAAAATTTTGTTCCAAAAGTGAAATGTTTTGCAAGCAAGCTTGATATCATCTGATAGGAAACTTCACGTAGTTTTAGAATATCAAAACGGCTTCGGTTGAGGGAATAATTTTTGTGGATTTTTTAGTCGTTGAAGTTGAAAGCGAAGTCGGCGAAAATTAGCACCTTCGACAACTGCCTCTATTTACGTATAGTCGAAGTGCTAAAATCGCTTAAGCTGCTCCATACATTTGGAAAAGGTCGAGCTAGAAGTTCCAGCAAGGGAATCTCACTAGGACGCTTTGGAACGAATTTCAAGAATTTTGAAGTTACCAACCTTCACCTCGCCGATATTGGGCAGCTCACGTCTGTTCCACCTGAAATTTTATGCTATATTTGGAAGGTTCTTCGGCTGATATGTTTTGCATGTTCTGATAGCAAATTTCGTGCTCTATAACACTGCTATAGAAATCTGTTCTCCAGAGGTGTTTGCTTTCTGTTAAGTTCAGGCCGTTATCATGGACGGAACGCGAAAATGTCGTTCGAGACACTAGGCAGATGGAGAAGGTTCCCGCTTCTCCCGGAGTTTTTGCTAACAATCCTTGAATGTTCGCTAATGATGTTGCTATATGTTCCTAAGGGTAGCCAATTTCATGCTCGTGGTAACATATAGACATAAAAATCAGATTCTCCGGAGCTGTTTTCTTCTCTGTTAAAGTAATCAGGGTTATCTTGTACGTGAACGTAGCGGTCGATGAGGAAAAAATTAGAGGGTGTCCGACTTCCCTCGTCATCGAACCGCTGTCCACTGAAGCTTCAAAGCTCCTAGAGCAGCTCAATGAAATGGCCATGGTTTGAGTAAGGCTCAGAGTAACAGATTAGTGTTAGGACAGCTCTTAGCGAAGTTCTCCCGAGCCGGCATCAGGCCATCTCGATCACCTTGAATTTGAATGCCGGAAAAGGAGGAGATGTCTTGTGATAAGTGCTAGCATGCGTTTATCGCACCTTGACTTTCCATGATTATCCACCTGAAGACAAGGCTTCATCGATGACGGACTTCAAAACTACTGCAACGCAGGCAGTGTTATAGAGCACGAAATTGGCTATCAGAACATATGGAACTTATTGGCGAAACATTCAAAAGTTAGCATGAAATTCGTGGAGAACGGGAACCCTAGTTCTCAACGACTTCGCGTTCCGTAATGATACCTGCGAGAGGCTTAACAGAAGCCAACACCCTAACTGGCAGAACAGATTTCTATAGCAGTGTTATAGAGCACGAAATTTGCTATCAGAACATGCAAAACATATCAGCGAAACATTCAAATATTAGCATAAAATTTCAGGTGGAACAGACGTGAGCTGCCCAATATCGGCGAGGTGAAGGTTGGTAACTTCAAAATTCTTGAAATTCGTTCCAAAGCGTCCTAGTGAGATTCCCTTGCTGGAACTTCGGGTGAAGCGTCGACCTTTTCCAAATGTAGGTGGAGCCCAGCTGAAGCGATGTTGGTAGCACTCGATTATACGTAAATAGGAGGCAGTTGTCGGAAGGGGTGTCAGGATTTTCGGCGCGACTTTGCTTTCAACTTCAACGACTAAAAAATCCACAAAATTATCCCCTCAACCGAAGCCGTTTTGATATTCTAAAACTACGTGAAGTTTCCTATCAGATGATATCAGAGCTTGCTTGCAAAACATTTCACTTTTGGAACAAAATTTTCATTTGAAAAAAAAACGCCATTACTTATGTGCCAACCCAATATTTTCTGAACTCACAGAAGGTGTTCCAAAAAAAAAAAATGCCAAAAAATCTGAAATAGTCCAGGAAAAGCGAAAGTCCAATAACCTCGTGAACCACACCATATAAGAGCGAAGTACATTAGCCACCACCACCATCCACAGCTTGAAACACCGTACGGACTCGGAAGCTCAACTTGCAGCTGCACAAAAGGAGAGATGGCGCGGCGGCACCCGTGGCTGATGCTGACAACAGCCACCCCGCCGTAACTCACATCACCGGACGAAAATCGGTTTGGGCAAATTTTGTAAGCACATATATGAGCCTGCAGGGGAAAGTGTGTACCCTAACATGGTCAATAAATGCATCGGCACACTGCGTCGCACCAGCAGGGCCCATGACGACCTCGTTGACCTTCAACCTAGGTGCGAAGAGTAAAATTGTAAACGAATTCGCTAGTGTAGACTTTTGTTGTCGGCTAAGTAGTGATGAAGGCAAAAAGAGGTCATCCGCTGTAGTGGGTTAAGTGGCGCGCTCACCCTTGGCGGCCTTGATTTCGAATCATCTGGGTGCCGGACTTGTCGCCTGCGGGCCAATCCATAGTCTTCTACGCACGGGGCCGCCGCGCACGCATCGCGTACACTTCAGGGCTCACCAGGTTCGGTACTGGGAGTAATTAAGCGAACACTGACTATGATTACATCAGCTTGGCCACGCACAGTCATGAGTATAGGCCACCTTCGAAATCAATAGCCGACTACGATCTGCTGAATAGAAGTTAGAATGCGTACCGCATCCCCGAGAGGGATTGCATTCAACGACCCAAGACTTTTCCTCATTTAATATTAAAAAGGACAAATGATAACACCAAGGCGTGAGTAGATTTTTTATTTACAGCCTTAAATCGCGGTTTTCATCTTCGATCATTCCTGTAGATGACTGTGAGATAATTAATGTGTATTTACACTTAACGTGCCCATTACAAAACGCTACTGCAGTTATCTCGAACGACTGGACATAATTTCATTTTTCTTAAATTTGTTCATCTCCAAACGCTACAAGTCTTACGTTCGGCACTCGGTCCCACTTGCGCCACGGGGCAAGTTTCTTGGGCAGTCGCTCCGTGCGTAATGCGGGTGCGAGGGGTGAGCGACTTATCCGGTCAGTTTCTTGCTTGCGAAACCAGGAAGAAAGACAGGAGGGGAGGCTGATAATTGTCATTATGCTATGAGGTTATATCTGGATCCATTCAGGCCTTTTAAGAAGGCCAGGGTGGCATAATTACTTTCTTCAAATTCTAAAAATGCGTGTCGAATAGTATACATATCATATAGTGGCATTTTCTTACGAAAGATAGGAAGTCGCGCAATCACGTTGCATGAACGGCCTACTTGGCCAAAGTGCTGAATAGGATGATTTTCTAAACTCTCTTATTTGTGGAAAACCCTGTGCAGACGATGCTTCACTGTGTGGGCTAAAATTGCCCCAGGTAAGTTAGGATTCTGCAACAAGTGGTGTATTAACTGAGTAGTAATTTCGAGTTGCCATAATAGGGCAGAAGTGGGTCACTTAGTGCCCAAGAACGTGTAGTCTAATTCGCTGCAAACGAATGCACGTTTCAGGTGGATATGCCAAACCCGTTCTCCACCAGTGTTGTACCGAGCAGGTGAAAATACTGCGCCATATCGTTCGTAACACTCGTTCTCTACCAACTGTTGTCGCACACCTGCTTCAACAACTGGTGTGAACTGGCACACTCATACTGCCTGACACGCCCCTTCATCTGCAGTGAACTAGAGTATAACTCACTGGTGATCTGTGATGCTGACTAGTATGCATCGTTATAATGCGGTGACGCTTTTAGGTTGAGGAAGGGCTCGCTGTGGGTTGCCTGACGACGGATTTTGCGTTGCAAAACGTACTTCTAAGCATGAACCTGGGTTTGGTCTCTTTGAATGGATATCGTATAAAGAAGTTGAAGTCATTCATATTACGTTGCCGGGCTTGTTTCAAAACCACGCCGATCATGACGAAGGAGTTCTGTCCAGCATGTGGAAATAAAATGTTACATAAGGTATGTTATGAAGCATTTTTCCTTCCCTCTAATGATCCTTTTTCTTGAAGGTTGCGGTGTCTGTGGACGAAAATGGAGAGCAGGTATTACACATAAATTGGCAAAGACTCGAAAATAAACGCGGCTTGAAACATTCTCTTCCAGCTCCTAAAGGAGGAAAACATGCGGTATGCTGCACACCATAACTCCTGTTTGAACTGAAATTTCCCAATTAAAGTGGTGCTCTTGCGAAACATTGTCCACTGCGTCTCCTAGTCGATTCTCTTAGAGAACTTGATGCAATTTCCTCATTTCATAACTTTTTTTCGCGCCAAGTATGTGGATTAGTTTGCAGTTTACTGGTTTCCGATTTTGATCAGATATGGTTTGTTCAGCAAGGTTTAGAAAGTTACACGCTACAGAATCTTTCACGAGATGACTTGAGATCACCGTGACTGTCTTCAAGGAAAGGGCCAAACGACTAGTGACAAATTTTTTGCTGAATGTTTAATTGCATGTCCACATTATTGTGCTTTATCTGAAACGGTTTGCATTCAGGGAAGAGTTGAGGTGCAAGGATAACTTAAGTCGGTACTATGCCAGTACATGAAACTCTCTGAATCCGTTGAAACCTCCGCACATAGATATCATTCCCTTGATGTTTCGATCAAATAATTGATTTCTAATATTAACAGCAATTTGAGAACTTAAAATCAAAGGGTCTAATTTCAGATAGTGGAAAAATTGTTTGAAGACCAACCAATGCCACAGAATCGCATGGCAAAGGTGCGTGCGGATCCGCTTGACGATAGTCCATTTTCAGTGCACGACGTCACTTCCAGGTACGGGCCCATGGTCTGCGTGTTCTATTCGTACTCATTGCTTCTTTCTTTGTGCACAGGTCAGCGATGCTCGGCGTACGGAATATGAACAACAAGCATCGACAAAGAAGAAACCCGAATGAGGCGCGAGCTGGCGGTCGGCGGAAGTGATCTGGCAAATAGACATCATTTTTGATTGCTTCTATCATGAGACTAGCTGTTGCGTTATTCAGTGACAAATTTTCTGAACATGTCGTTGCCCAGTTGTTTTCCCGTTGTTATTGTTTTACATTTTAAACTTCGTTGAGTTTTTATGTGATGGATTAATCTATGAATGTGAAGATTTAATGTATCCTTGAGTATTATTTGTTTCGGTTGGTACCAAGCCATATCGCAAGGAAGTAGCAATGCTTAACAAATTTTGTTCACTATTTTGAAGGACTTCGGTGATCAAGGTCTACACTGGTGAATTTCTAATGTCTTCCGCGTACTATTGCCATCAGTGCCGCAACCAAGTACCTCTTAGAAACACCGTGAGTTCCCATACTTCCCATCTTTCTCATGACTGTTTCGAATAGAGAACCATTCGTCGCGTATTTTTAGGATATGATATGTGGTGTCTGTGGTGGAGAGTTTCTTGAACAGATAACACCACCTCCTCGTGTAATTCCTCACGCACCTTTTCCACACCATCGGCAGCCTCCAGGAAGAGGGTCGCATTTCCATCACCATCATCACCCCCCAGCTCAACAGTCACATGTACAGCAAGGGTCCAGTCAAAATGGACCGGAGGTCGGCGATTTAGTTATCATTTGTCTGTTTATTTTCCAAAGTTTTTTCTGGAGCTTTCTGGGCTACTAGATCGTTGTTTTTTGAGTTTTACATTTTTTTTCAATGATCACAACGTTTCAGAACTTCTTCCAGTCTCTTATGGGAATGTTCAATTCACTACCTAGTCAACCACCTGCCTCAACACAAAGTAGAGGAAGTAGTGGTAGTAATACTCCATCGAATGGTCGTGCTCAAGGACCGCAAGCCATAGTACGTTTCGTCCCTCTGCTTCTCCGTGAAATATATCCTGTTTTCCCTTTTCAGACTTTCTCCCTTGACCAAGCCATGCAAATGCATCCTATTCTTGGACAAGTTTTATCCAGTTTGGGAGACCCACATATGCAAGTCCGCATTCATATTGGAGACGATAGGGAGTACGCCCTTTTTTCTTTGGAATTTTTCGTTTTTGCAGCTTCTTGAGATTCACTTTGTTGCTCTAGCGGAACAATGCATGGCCCGTTTGGTGACTACGTATGGGGCGAAAACGGCATGGATCGCATTGTGACGCAGCTTTTGAATCAAATGGATGGCAGTGTGAGACCAGTTGGACTGACGGATCAGCAAATTAACAAATTACCTATAATAAAGGTAAATCCATTCCTTTTTCTTATTTTCCGCTCTCATGTCTTTTCCAAGCTTGTAAGCAGTAATTTTTATAGGTTTCGGAACGACATGTTGAAAAAGCTACGCAGTGCACTACTTGCTTCGAAGACTTCAAACTTGGTTGGTGTGCAATTTATTGTATCTGAAGAAATTCGTTTGCAGTTAAACATACAATGCAAATGATTTTAGGAGAACTGGTCGTGGAGCTGCTATGTCATCACATATTCCATACACAGTGTGTGGTTCCTTGGCTTCAGCAACGCCCATCCTGTCCGATTTGTAGACAAGAAGTAGTTGCCTCTATGTTCCCTGAGCCCGCTCCGGGAGCTCCAACAGTCTCGGTTTGTTCTTCCTTGCACTTGCTCGCTTTCTCTCCGTTGATCAAAGAGAATTCAATCTTTGTTTTCAGAGTTTGGAAGCCAAGCATGACTTGATTGAACCTGAGTTGGACTGAAAACCTGTATTATATGTTACTCTGTGTTGCTACCATGTCATTAATTAAGTTCTTGTTTCGTTTCGCGCTCGTTCTAATTCTGGTCGCTTGTTGCATCTTCACAATTAATGCTGCAGTGATTGACATTCGATTATCTTCCTTCGTCCACTGAATTTGGGTTCATTACGATATGTGATGTACATATATTTTTCTATAGTATAGCAAAACTCGTGCCTATCAGAAAACATCAACCTATTTCGAAATCAAACTTGTTCTTGCGCTTAGAGAAAAACCGCTAGGGTATCGAGAAATAAATGTTATTCTCCTCACGATGACATGTGATGATTTTATTCAGTAATCCCGAAACAGAATTTATTATAATATGCAGCAACAAAAACAAGGAACCCCGATAGAATGAACAGTTACTGTTCACGATGAATAATAACAAACAGTCCGAGAAGACCCAGCACAGCATATTTCAACTTTGGATAGTCGTTCATCAAAATGGTTACCATGCCAACATATGGGAGCATGCCTTTCGTACGACCGACAACGTCGTCACGATGCAGCCACATCTGTCCGGGTGCGTAAAGTCCACGATCATCCACCTAAACAGTAATCTTTTCTAGGTACCAAGAATACTATAAGGGAGAGTCTTACAATAACTAGAGACAGCCCTCGGAATTAGTCTCTTAAACAGTAGTAGCTGCCTGTAAACCTAATCAGTGCTTACGACAGTGTGATGCTGCGTTCATCCCATGCAACTGCGGCGATAAAGAGACTAGGCCGAAAAAGAGGGGCACGATTGACCCCACCAACTGAAAAATCGCAGATTCTGCGTTTCCAGAGCATATGTTCAGCAGATTAGATTCCTATCGATTGATCGCTAACTTTCCCTTTGGGCGCGTTCAACTAATCCTTTCATCGTACTTTCCAAATAGCTAAAACCTTTATTCTTCCAACTCCTTTTCACTCCAGTCTGTTCTCCAAATTGCGGACTCCCTACGTCCACGAACGTTTAAGGCGCCCCTGTCATTATCTGCCAGTAGAGATCGTTCTTTGAATACAAAGAAATTTCAAACAATGGCGAGACTTTACAGGTGACTAAGCTGCGTGGTAACAATGCACGTACTTTGGCATGCATCACATTTCAGGTGATGGAAATAGAGGAATTTTTATAAAAATCGATGGATAGACACAGTATCAGTTGTTTATGATGAATGCATCGCGCGAATCCAGTTCAGTGGAAGCCATGTGCCAGCCACCCTTTAGTGTTTTCGTCTAACTATTTCGTTAAGAACT